GAGAGAGAGAGAGAGAGAGAGAGAGAGAGAGAGAGATTGCCTTAACTGCTCAGCTCCTGGGCCCAGGGCCAGAGCCATGAAAGGTGTGGCCAAGCCTGGGCAATGCCTTCCTCCTCTTTGTGTTCTTTGATTGTATCTGCATCACTCTAGCCTCTGTTTGGCGTTCTCATGGCCCCCTCCTTTCTGCCCATTCTTCTTTGATCTCTTCTATTAACACATTGTACAGGGGCCACCCTAACTCAGGACAGTATCATCTCCAACTCCTCCACTTGATTACATCTGTCAGAGTCCTTCTGTCATGTAGATGCCCTCATGGATGCTGAGGACTGGACATAGGTGGATCTTCAGGGCCTCCATATAGCCCACTACAACTCTGTACCACCCTATAGTGTTAATCAAGATGCTCATAAAAACAAGGGACCCAGACTCTTGGGTCGGGGCCCAAACCTGTTATACCTGTGGAGCAGTGGTCCTTCTCCAAGGAGTGGAGGATGAGGCTGGGTCCAGGATATCATATGTGGGCAAGAAAAACATGGTCCTGGGAGCCCTATGCTCAGGAACACCCAGGCCATGGACCTTTTCAGAAACCAGCAGGATGTGAGCCCAGCATCAACCTGGGGGGGGGGGGGTTGTCACTGGTTATGAAAGAGCTACTCTAAGCAGCAAATGCTCCAACTAGATCTGCTACCTCCAGGTGAGGGCTTGGCTTGGACCCTTGCAGAGCCCTGAGTGACCCCACACTCACCCTCTGCCAAGGAAGAAGATCCATAGCAGCCAGGACAGAGATGGCTCTGAAGCCCTCCATGGCTGCAGGGTGAGGCTTAAGGGTGATATTGACTCCCACAGGCCTAGGGGTTATGAGGGACTGACTCTTCTGTCTTCCTAGATCCTGCCTCCAAGTTAGTGCAGCAATCCTATCATGATCATCCTGGAACTGCCTGAAAGTTATTGGCCTCTTGGGATAGTACCTCACCCTCCTGAAGCTATGGGTCAGTGCAATAGGCAAGCAGATGGTCGGTTTCGCCCTGGGCGTGAGTGACAGACTGGCCTGCCAGGATCTCAAAATGGCCTGGGAGCTCCCAGAACAACAGAGAGACAAAGTACAGGGCAGAAGATGGCAGAAACCAAAACCCCCAGCCCAAAGCGGGTAGAGACCCCTACAGGACAGACAGGTCCTGAGGACTAGAGGCAGGTGACTCTACTGGAACAGCCTTGCTACCCAGTTTTTGGTCAGACCCCATCATCCTGGCCAGGCCCCTCCGCGGAGAAGTGGAATCCCACAGTCTAGTGAATGAGAGACAAAGAGAAGGCTGGCCAACAGCTGGCCACTGAGCCTGCCCCCACAGCAGGCAGCCTATCTCCCAGTGTCAGACCAGACGGAGCAGGTGCGGGCCACCACCAGGACTGGGGCTTTGTGCTGTCAGCCCGGGGCCTGACATCCATCATCCATCATCAACCTGAAAGTCCCTCATCTGCATTCTAATGAGAAGGGAGTGGGGACCAAATGGAGCAGCTGATCCACCAGCCAGAGTCCCAGGGCCCCACTGGGCTAGGCAGTGAGAGGCTGCCTCCCAGAGAACAGAAGCGTGTGTGCTCCTGGCTTTCCTGGAGATCCACCCAGATTGTACCACCTGCCACAGAAGGCACAGCAAACTGCCCCTGCCTGCTTGCAGGGAGGCCTGCCTGGACCCTGCCCAGCCCTGCTTGCCGAGGACTGAGTTCTCCCGGGGCCCCACTGTAGCTGATACAAATTTTCTCTACTCTCAGCTGGCCTAGTGTGTAAAGAGTAATAGATGCCCCTTCCCAGATGGGTGCAGTGTCCCACACCGGGCCCTGCCTACGCATTGACCAGGGATGTTACTGCCTGACATTTACTGGGACCCCGACAGGGCCACACATCTGCACCTATGTGCACAGACAGGAAGGATCCGGGCCTAGGTTTTGAACCCCTGCAATAGGAGAAATGGGATGAGTTTGAGATGCTTTGGAGAGTGGTGTGAAGGGGATGGGGTTTGCAGGGGAGATCCCCAAAGACTATGGAAACATCTTATTCCAAAGGAGCATTAATTCACCACCAGGCAGAAAGGCAGAATCTGGGTCAAGTCCCACGCTGGGTCCACGGCAAAGCTGTTGAGAGTGAGGGAAGATCCACTGACTAAGGTTCCTAGCCATCTTTATGCTTAAAGAACCGGGTCGGGAAGGGTCCACTGCAAGGCTCTGGAGAGTGTGTGCTGAGCCCGGTTAGAAATCAGCCAGAGACAGAGAGTGGGGGCTCAATGGCACTTGGTAGCAACTGTCATAAAACTGGCAACAGCTACTG